ACGCAGCCTCCACGCACGCCATCACCACCAAGACCCACGCCGAGCTCAGGTACTGTTGTTTCCTGTCCCCATCTCTTACTGCCTCTCATAACTGCTCAGTTTTTTTAATCCAGGTCCCACTGTCAAGTGACAGAGTTATTATACTCTGGGGTCAGAGCTTTTCCTTGCCTATCCAGTCGCACTGATGGGACAGTCCTTCATTGCTGGAACTTTTTCTGAATAGTGACTGTGGAAGTCCTGCCCTGGGCCTCTCTGCTCACGGTTTTGGGGGTTTTGGTAACAGTAGACCAGCTGCCTGGTAGTTGTCTCACATACCCTTTATTGCCATGTCCAGAAATATTTAAATTACCCTTTTCTTTTGCAAGTTTTCACCTGTTATGCAGATGTGATTGTTTTTAGTATTTTGCAATTTAAATTAGCTTCCAAATTTTGTTTTTATGTTGGATATAATCCAGTTATATGGTCCTGGATAAGACTGAGTCGTTGTGTTTATTGTTTTTTTAATACTTAGGAAATACACTAAAATGTCAGTTTAGATAAGTTTTAACTGCTTCTTTCCTCCAATTTTAAGCACTAAGTCTTCTACATGTATCAGCTTGTTAAGTACAGGAGAGTGCTAGCTCACCTAGTCAGTCTGGATGTCTTCTGCATTTTTTTTTTTCAATTGTTATATATGTAGTTCCTGGAGTTTTATAGTTTGTGTGTAAGCAGTTAAGGTTGATATGTAGGCACAACCATAAGTTTAACTATTTTATAACATGCCATTGAAAAGCAGAGAAGAAGTAAGGACCTCTTTTCATTATTTTTGTTATTGATAAACACCATAAAAACCTGCAAGCTCAACTCTGCTATGATTTGATGAGAATTTTTTTTTCTTTAAATGGGAATTTCTTATTAGCACTCAAAACCTCACCCAGCTCACACACACAAATGCACACACACTGTGTACCTCCATTTGTATGTATTATCACTGGCTAATTAACATAGATATTTTTTAAAAGTGTGTAAAGGACAGCTTGTGTATGCAGTGTTCAGTAGGAGTTCCACAACTGCTGTGACTGCAGAACCCCAGACAGCTGGTAGTGCAGCGGTCTATTCTGGCTAACCAACCTTGTAAAGTTTTTGAGTAGATTCTTCCTATTTAGTCAGAAATAGCCTTTCAGACATGGACACTAAAACCTCACTGCTCCACTTTACATAATGATGTCTTAATAACAAAGCTTTTCTTAATATCAAAGCTTTTTGCTTATATTTCTTCCTCAACCCTAGCATAGATTTCTGATACACAAGAGTACAGATTCTTTATGGGTCCAAAGACAGGAGGCTGGGCAGGGCTTTGGAATGTTCTTGACTGATGCCATAACTGTTACATCTGAGCAGGAATTACGAAGTAAAACAAATAAAGTGGGAACAAAGCAACTGCAGAAGTCTGGTAGAGATTCAGAGGGAATTATTCTGTCTTTCTTCCCAGGCCGTGCTTTCTGCAGTGCCTCTGGAGATCCACATTATAACACTTTTGACCAGAGAGTTCATAATTTCATGGGAAATTGCACTTACACCCTCTCCAAAGTGTGCAACGTCTTTGAGAGGCTTCCATACTTTGATGTATCCACAACAAATGAGCACAGAGGAGCCAACACCAAAGTCTCTTATGTGAAGTCAGTGCAAGTGGGAGTCTATGGCAACCAGATTTCTTTGCTGAAAAACAAGAAAGTGAATGTAAGAAAATACTTGTTTAAAAGACACGTATAATATTTTTAAACTGACATGCAGCTAATTAAATATTTTCTCTGATTGTAGAGTTCGTAGCAAACTTTCTCTTTTTATTAGTTAAATGTACCTCTTTTAATGAGATGTCCACAAATTTGCTCAGGTGAAGTGTTGTTTAATTACTTCTAGTTCCCTTGTGCACAAGATCATATCTTTCATTAATCTGTTTTATCTGCTGGTAGTTGTAGGGGTCCCAGCAACCATACACTAACTTTTACAACTTGCTGTACAGGTGAATGGCAGCAGAATGAACTTGCCTGTATTTATTGAAAAGAAGATCAGTATTCAAAGCAGTGGTGCATATGTTCTCTTGGAAACTGACTTTGGACTGTGGGTGAGATATGATGGAAACCACTATGTAGAAGTCTCTGTGCCCTCTAATTACCGCGGTCTGCTCTGCGGCCTCTGTGGTAAGTCATACACTTAGTCACTTTTTAGTGAGTTGTGGAGGCTGGTGGTTACTTAAACTTTTTTTTCTTAGCATGTGATACTTAATCTACACACAGCTAGTCCTTGTCAAATGGACTAGAATTTACAGCAGTGAAGAAAACTTGCTAGAATTTTTCAGTTTCTAAGCACTGTTACTTGCAAAACTCCTGGTAACATGCTATCCATTTGGAATGTTGTGAGGTATAACTACAAATAACAGTTTTAGCCAAATAAAAAAACTCACTTCAGTTTTACAGTTTAAATTTAGGAAAAGTAATGATTTGCATGCATCTACTCAAGGATTCTACAAATACATTTTTCTGTTATTTACATTCTATTTGTCTTTTGTTGGGTGTGAGGAATGCTATACCATTTTGTTTTGTGAATCATAAAAACTTGAGGCTGTTTCTACAGCAGAGAGCAATCTTCAGAATAGCTTACTGTCAACATCCTCAAACTTTCCTGCTGCTGTTTTCCTGTGCTGTTTTAGGAGGTATTTATACAACCTGAATGATCGTGTTTATATGATCAAAGGAAAAAAAAAAAGAAGAAAGGAAAGGAAAGGGAAGGAAAGGGAAGGAAAGGGAAGGAAAGGGAAGGAAAGGGAAGGAAAGGGAAGGAAAGGAAAGGAAAGGAAAGGAAAGGAAAGGAAAGGAAAGGAAAGGAAAAAGGAAAGGAAAAAGGAAAGGAAAGGAAAAAGAAAAAATAGACTACTAAGGCTTATTTTTACCTACTTTTTATTCCAGCTAAGATAGGCACTGTCTACATTAAAACAAAGCAATGACAAGGATACAATATAGATAATCCTGAGCTGATGGACTTGATGAATAATGAAGAAAATGTGTATTTTATTTCCAAAATTCATATACCACAAAATATTAAGTGCTATATATGATACGAAACATAGAGGACTTTTAGAGTCCTGTGAGAAAGATCAGACACAAAGGGCACATTCGACTGTGTTAGAAGTTCTGTTGCAATAGGATAACAAAGTAAATAAGAGTCACAGGTGGCTTATGTAGCTAATGAGAGTAGGAGCTTGCTGGAATTAGTAGTGACAAGTAGTTTTTCATCAGCAGTGTTACTAGTGCCTTAACCTGACCAGGTTTAGCTGGAACTGAAACAACATTCTGAAACCCAGGTGATTATATGAAATGTGCTTCAGGATGGAAATGGGACTGTAGAAATTACAAGAGTAGCTTGTCTTGTGAGTTTCTGGTTATTCTTTGATTTGGATCATCTGAAATGCCTAGTTCAATTACCTCTCCTTGGGTTTTTCACACTTTCAGTTCAGGAAATCTACCTAAGAATGTAATGGTGCAAATAACACCATTTGATTTTTAGTCCAACATTCTACAGGTAGGATCCAAGGAAATGAATTGGGGTTTTTTTAGCTAATCAATTCTCTCTTGTATGTACTGTGATCTAGTTACATAAGAATTTGCAGACTTCTTGCTTCAAGTCCACAAGTCTCTGAACGGCAGCTCTTGTCAACGGTCAAAGTCTAAAACACAATTGAGCTCTTCTATTTTGCCCAGTACACATTGATGTTGCATATATACTCTCCCTAGTTCATTGTAGTTTATTTTACAGCCTGAAACCTAGGTTTGTTCTATGGGTGTGAACTTCATGTGTCCCATAAATCTTTTTTCCCTCACAGGTAATTATAATGGTGATCCAAATGATGACAACATAAAGCCCAATGGTGACATTGCAAGTGGCTCCACTGATCTTGGACAAAGCTGGCTTGTGCCTGAGAATAACACCATGTATGTATATTAATTTAATCGCATGGCATTTGCTAATCAGATGCTATAAAATCAAACATCCATCCACTCACTGGCTTTGTCATCCAGTACCATTTTACATCTTCCAACTGCCTGTTAGAAGTAGGGAGCTGCCCCTTTGCATTAAACAGGGAATGAGAAGAGGGCTTGTGTCCTTTAAGTCTTGTTTTCCAAAGCAGGAACTGTCTGCTGAATGTGAGCGGGGACAGGACTTCAGTTCAGTTCCCTGATTGGAAACCATAACTGATTGGATCCCATAGGTCCTATTTTCAGCTAAGAATAAGCCTTTGAAAAGCCCAGAAAGTATCAAAAAGGGAGTCCATTCAGTGATAGGGCTGACATCAGCTTTTCAAAGAACCTGAATAAAGTCTTGTGACTGTAATAAAATACACCCTGTTGTGCAGGGTTTTCATGTGTCAATCTGCCACTGAAAATCTGATAGTAAGAGATGTGAAACACTCACTTGATTTTGCTTGCTTTCCCCAGATGCTCCAGTGGGACAGAAGAGCAATGTGATCCTGTGCTGGAGAGTGAAGCAAAGAAGAACACGGCATGTGGCATGATCACAGACCCAACAGGTAGTATGTTGGTAGTTCTCTGTGAGCCATGTGATAGAGCACTTTATAGCTTATGTTTTCTCCTCTCTATAGTCCATTGTTCTGAGCTCACACTGGAAGTATATAAAACCTCCAGTGTGAACGGCCAACGTAAAACTCATAGGTGCTTGGTCAAGATATGTCAACCATTCAGACAGTGCCAATGTGTACATGAAGATTATCTGAGAATGTGCATGGGGAGCCATAGCCGCTCTTTGCTTTATAGTGACTTGCGCTCTGCTTGCTAAAAGAAATAGTTCAGAGGGCAGTCATCGCATGTATTACAGATACTTTATCTGAAATTCTGTAGATGTTCCCTGCATTGGAGAGCCCCTGCAGATGTCTAGAATTAGTGGCTTGCCTAGCCACCAACTCTTAATTTATGTAAGCTATGTTGTATCAATCATGCAAAAAGAAGAAAGCCTGTTCCAGAGTGCCAAGTCTCATTGTGCATGCTCTAAGTGTTAGTTTAACTTACTAAAGTTAGCCTGGAGCACTCACAATACATTTGCAGTGACAGAAAATAGATGGTGGTGATCTTATCATTCTCAATTTTTTTTCTGCCCTTCTATATATCTTTCTTGATTTACACAGGAATCTTCAAGGATTGTCATACCAAAGTGCCTCCAGAGAATTTCTTTGAAAACTGTGTTTACGACCTGTGTTTCACTGGTGGACAGGCAACATCCTTATGCTACGGACTGCAGGCTTATGCTGAGTCGTGTATCAATGCTGGGATATGCATAGAGTGGAGGAATGCTACTCTTTGCCGTGAGTGTTGTGACATATCTATTATGGATTTAAACTTCAAAAGTATGCACATTCTCCTCTACCTTTCTCATGCATGTTATTTCATTTTATGTCATGTTTTGAGTATAGTCTATCCTTTTTCATGTCTTGAGCCTGCTTCAGTTTCAGTATCATTCACATATTTGTATAAAACACTGATTTTCATGAACATTTGGATACATGTAGGTTCAATCCTTAAAGTTTTAATAATGTACTATTAGTTTCTTGGAAAAGTTTGATTACATTCAGCTATATCTTATGTGAGCTTCTGCACTGGGGAAGTAACTGTTGCTTTGATCCACTGAAAATCTACCATGCTCGATGTAAGCAGAGCTGGTATTCCTCCATACACAAATGCTTATCGAAGGCTTTTGGTTAAAAAACTAGTTTGATAAGAGACCTTGAGAAACAGCTGTTTCTAGGAAGTTTATGAGTATTTCTCTATAAAGCAAAGAAATGAAATATTCCCACTTATCTCCCAATTAATTTTCTTCAGAATGACCTTATGGGAAATTTCATATAATGAACTCACATTTCTTAGAATAAAGCTTTCTGGGAGTTCCACTGGTGCTGATTTTATGCAGCACTGGGCAGTTTTCTGCTTGCCAGACATCTTCTAAAGGACCTTTATCTCCACAGAGTACACACCTGGAGAAAAAAAGAAGTCCTCTAGAGGTCAACCACACTGAAACAACCCATAATTCTTCTCTATGTTTTTTTGTCTTTTACACTAATTTTGATTATACCAGTTACCACTGTATTACCTTCTGCAGATTTGCACCTTTTTTTCCTTTTTTTTTTTTTGTGATCAACAATTAGCTCTGCATTGAAAGTAAACCATAAAAAAACATGGAAAGATTCTAAGAGAAGACTTAGTCACATTAAGAGGATTGACTCTCAAGTGCTCCCTCCATCAGTAATTCAAAGAAAAATTAAGAACCTGGCAAAGGGCAGGTACTCTGGCTAGATGACTGGAGATGTTGGCTGTAATTATCTGACATGACTAAGAGATCCTGCTGTAGGGATAGAAGTAAATAAGAGTCATATGTAGTGATTTATCACAGAATCTAGCCAGAAACAGTATTTAGGGGTTTTTTAGATGACAGAAATGGACAAATGCTTCAGAATTTCTGTAAAATGTAATGTCTTCCCTGGGGAGCATGCTTTGAGTGATAGAAGCCCAATTCTACCATGAGCAGGAGAGGTGTGACAGTATAATATATTTTCCTCAAGGGTCTCAGTGAAAAACAGAATCTGATTTTTAGTTCTATTTTAAAATATATGGCAGGTGTTCAAATAGTAACTACAGTAATTGAGCCATATCAGCTGGTATGTGAAGAGGTTCTTCTGTTCCTTTAATAGAGTGACTTCATGGATTTAAACCTGCAGAAAAAGGTTTACTGAACCAAGCACAATTAGTCCTGTATGATCACATCAGACATACCCTCAAAGCAAGCCTACAATGTTTGACTTCCTTTGTGAGGTGAAGTGCAGGGTGGCCTACCTGTCTTACCCACCTCTATCAAAAGCCACCCACCTCATACTGCAAGAAAATCCTTTGTATGCAGCACTCTCCAGTGTCAGACTTTCTAACAGTAATTTTTGTATATTTTCAGGAGCAAACAGTGAAAGCATCAAGAAAATTTCTACCATGATTTTGCCCTTTTGGGTGATCCTATTTTTCCTTTTTCTCTCTAGCAATATCCTGTCCCGGAGGCAGCATCTACAAGAGCTGTGGTACTAGATGTCCCTCTACCTGTTTGAACATCTCAGCAGTTGATTCCTGCAGTTCCTTACCAGTGGAAGGTTGCTTCTGTAAGGAAGGCTATGTTTTGAGTGGAGACAAATGTGTGCCAGAAAGCAGCTGTGGTTGTGTTGATGAAAAAAACCAGTACCATCAGGCAAGTTACCTCAAACATTTAAATTAAAAAAAAAAAAGAAGAGGGGATCTCATTCTTTATCACCATTAGAGAAAAAATTGTTAATAACACTAACACAATTATTTACACCATTAATAATCACAAAATATATTCACTTTGCCAGCCTTCTTGATCTGTGAGCTGTGTGGCTACAATTGCCCAAATGATCATATATCATGCACATTCAAATACTAGTAATTTGATTGTCCCTTACGGTATTACCTTCCAATTTATCTTATAGTATATACTTCTACACTCTTTTTTCCGCTCAGCTGGATGAAAGCTGGTTCACCAGTTATCACTGCACTGAACGCTGCACCTGCAAGGCTAATAACACCATTGCATGCACATCCTGGGAGTGTGGAGTCCGAGAGGAATGCAGTATTCAGGATGGTGTGCTGGGCTGTCATTCCAATGGTTAGTCCTGCCTGAAAATGGTTTTCAATGTCAATTCCATAATTAGATCCTTCTTCTGCTTCTAGCTTTATAAATAGCTTTTCATATGTGATGGCAAAGAAGTCCCAACTTACTGCTGCCAGTGCTAAGAGATGAAAAGACAGGACAATCTGTCTTGCAAGCAGAGATCCCCTTCTGTTGTAGTTGATATCAGCAAAAACTGATGCTGCCCAAAAGCTTGCAAGGTCACTTGGGTTCCTTTTGTCTTGATAATACAAATTCAAGTCCCACATCACCAGTGCTGCAAGCTCTAAATTTGGGAATAATTGAGAACTGTATTTCTGAGAGTCTGGGAGATTGCAAGTGCATCAAGCATCTATATATATAGATGCAAATTTATTTACTTTTATATATACACCTATATTTATACATATAATTATGTATTTTTAAATAGCTAAGTAGAATAGCTCTATATTACTCTCAACTACCACAAATCATAGCTACAACAGGATATACAAATGTATAAAGAGGTTCTTGTGCTGCCAAGTTGCCAGTTTGTACATAATTTACAAATTAAATTTAGAAGACACTTTCTGGAAATTTCTTATTTCCGAATAAATGTAATCATCATGAACCTGAGATACCTCTGTGAAGGTTTACCCACATAATAATGATCAGGATTAGGTTGCTGCACTAATGCAAACATCTTTGGTCAGCTAAGTCCATGGTAAAATCCAGTCCAAAGTTCTTAGATCACTTTTTCACCTTCAGGCCAAGCAACATGTCAAGTGGCAGGAGATCCCCATTATTTCACTTTTGATGGAATGATGTACACTTTTGTGGGTACTTGCACCTACACCTTGGTTGAGGTTGCCAACACCAACAGTGTCATTCCTATAACCATCCTTGGCAAGAATGAAGACAGAGGACTAAGAGGGGCCACATACCTGAAAGAAGTCTACATAGATGTGTATGGTGTACGAATCACCCTTCAGAAAAGCCAAGGAATCCTGGTAGGTGGTGGTGCTCTTTATTCTGGCAAGAAGTATCTTAAAATTAGCTCACTACAGTAGCTGTAGGAAAAAGGATCTTCATGTTTCATAGGAAATACGTACACTTATGCTTAATACTTGTGGGCACCTCCATTAACTGGATATCCTGGGGAAATACCATTTCTCACTAGTTCCCAAGGCTTCTCGTTTGGGTTTACTGTTCTGTTGGCCGTATCTTGGAGATGGAGCCCGGAAACTCGAGACTGGAGAATTGTTACCTGAACTAAAGGATGAGGCTCCCCACTTCAATAGCTGTTGTCAACCCAATCACCTATAGCTAGCTAACAAGAGAGAGGAAAAGCAAGTCGTACTGTATTGGTCTAGAATAGCATGGGGATTCATGGCAGTACTGCAGGCAGGGAATCCACCCTATGGGTGGGTAAGAGCTTGCTCACTACCAGGGATCTTTCCAGCTCCCTGTTAAAGGCACAGGCTGTGAGTCCTGCCCAGCTCTCCTCAGCTAAAAGGCTGATTCCTGCAACCCATAGTTGGAATATGCAATGGTGGAAGTGTAAAAGAGCTAAAACTGTCGTAAAGAAATCTTCAGCACTGCAAGGAATATAGATTGTAAGCAGAAAAGCTTTCACAGAACAATGTCCATACCGACAAATGACATGTCTCTCCAGCTGAACAATGAGAGAGTCTACACGCCAGTGGAGAACCGGTTGCAAGGTGTGTCCATTGGAAACATTGGCAGATTTATAGAAGTGGAAACTGACTTTGGTGTGAGAGTGAAATATGATGGCAATCACCATCTGGAAATCACCCTCCCACAGTCTTATTTCTCAAAGGTATGATTTAGTATGTAAACATCTGGTACTGTTTCAAAACCACTGCTTTCTGCATTTACTTTTAATTTCTTCTATTCCTGTGTTTTGTTATTGCATCTTTCTTTGTAGCTGTATTGTAACACATGTCATTTTTTTCCTTTCTATTTTTTTCTCTTCACAACAATTTCCTTGTGTTCCAAGGGGGTAGTTAGAGAAAATGACCTGGCTAGGGGAATATAACCAGCTTATAGAATTAAATGCCTTGAAGCCTTAGGGAACCACGGATTTACTGCATTTTCTATTTTATTTCTCTATGGGTGCAGTCAGACACTACTGAGTATGTCTGAAATGTCTGGTACAAGATTGGATGTTGGTGGTGATTTGGTCACATCATTTTACAGGCAATGAATAAGAAGTTATTGGGGAAGCTGATGCAGAACAGATTGTGCTTAGAATATGGTTCTTGTTCATTTGCAGGTACATGGCATGTGTGGTAACTTCAATGACAATCGTGAAGATGACCTGTCCTTGCCCAATGGTACACTTGTCAGTGTCGCACAGTTTGGAAATAGCTGGAAAGTGGAGGAAGACAGTGATGAAGGGTAAATGTAACTTCTTTTCATACATTCCATCTTCCTTCAGGAAAAAGTTTCCTTTCAGTTGTTTTTTCTGTTTGCTACTTTGTAACATGTAAGTAGTGTATGTGAGACTTTTCTCTTCTTGAATTCGAAGCTCAAAAAAAAGGCATCACCACAGGAAACCACTGTACAGGCCAGAGGGAAACCACAGCCATTCTGTTGACCTACATACACACTTGGGGAATTAGGCTTTGGGGCAGTCAAAAGCATGGACATCACCTCTGTTTATTTTACACTGAAAACACCTAGAGCAGGATGATGCTGTTGGGGAACAGTGAGGGCCAGCTGCTCCCTAAGGGACAAGGAGCCAAATGTGATAACACAGCCGAGAGAACAGTGGCCTCACCAGCCAGGGCCCATCCCACACTACCTGAGCAAGGCAAGCAGGGCAGGTCCAAGGGTGGAGGCCAGGGTCAGCCAAGAGTCCAGATCACCACACAAGTTTGCAGGGACAAGATAGGTCTGAGGTCAAGCTGAGAAGTCAATCCTCTAGTCAGGGTCAAGTTCAGTGAGAGTAACGAGGGTCAGACACAGCATGGTGATTGCCATGCAGGTCTACTTCTACCTAGTCTTTCACTCATAGACAGAAAGATGACTGTAGTCTCTAGTGTTATTTGTTTAATACCTTTCAGTAGAAACTTTCCAGTTTCAGTCTCCATCTTATATATGCCTTTGAAACTTAAATGCAGCTGTGTCTGTGCTTTCATGCAGTTGTTTATCAGACTTAAGAGAAGACGATGTTCCTCCTTGCACTGCTGAGAATAAACCAGTCATTGAAAGCCAGTGCAATGTCCTAAGATCAGACAGATTCAAAGCATGTCATAATCTAGTCAAGCCTGAAGACTTCATACAGATCTGCATCTATGACATGTGCCAGTATGATGGCATGAAGTCTGCTCTCTGTGACATAGTTCAAGTCTATGTGGACACCTGCAGGAACCATGGAATCACCATTAAATGGAGGAATAGCACATTCTGTCGTAAGTGCGCAAGCAAGTGAAAAAACTGAAACTTCAATGGCTGACAGCATGAAAACAAATTAGCAGTATGCGGTGAACAAGCTATGTAAAAGAAAATTAAACCCAAATTCTCACAAAATGCAATTCCATTATTATATTTTATGACTCCATTGTTGCACTGAACTGTGCTCAGGTTGAGCTAAACCCCGTGATAACTCGGGACTAGACAAGTTATGGATAGTAATGTGGAGTTAGAATGGCTTTAGTAGCCAAATGAGTGCCATGAGGTATTGCAATGAGGCTAAAATGGAGAAATAATATAACCAGAAGACTAAAACAAAGTGAGGTACTGTATTAGGACACGGAGCTCAATGCCACTCACTGTGTTCTGAATGAAAACTGGCAATTTGTCCAGTTGCTTATTAAGGGCCACATTGTCGGATTACTTTCCAGTGTATGTATGTGCCTCACACCATCCATTCAACAAAGCTACAAACAAATTATGTAAAAATGAGTAAAGATTACACAGTGGATTTCTTTTTGTTGTTTTTTCACAATTTAGTATTACATTGTGGAATTAATTATCACATAATATTGTGATTAACATGAATATGTTATGTTATGAATAACGTTACGAATAACAATTAACTGGTTAAAAAACAAGCCACATGAATGTCGAATAGGTCCATCAGAAATTCCTAGTTGCCTCCTTGCCACAAGTGGAGGAAAATACTGGACAAATGCACCCTTTGTCCTGCTACCCTGATTCTTGAACTGTTCCCTTATGCATCTCTAGTCATTGGCAGAAACAGGGTATAGAGCTAGATGAACCTTCAGTCTGACAATGCATATCTGTTGTTCTTGCATGTGTTTATGTCTGTGGTTAAGTTAGATATACACCTGGTTTGCATCACTGGAGGGTTGAACATTCTAAGGAATTTGCCCTAAAGATTCTAATTTCTAGCAGTGCCTAAAGAGGCATTTGCAGCTGAGCTGGAATACTTAATCTGAATGATCTAACACCAGGTGCCACCAGTTCAGGCATACTTGTAATAGAACTGAATCAGCAGCTCCAGAGAGGCTTCTCTGTTTTGTTTTTGTTGGTTTTTTTTAAATAAAATATAAAAAATCAAAACTGGTTGATGATCAAAATCAGATATTAAAAGGCAATTCTATACTACCATTTTATAGGCCAAGTTTTAGCTTTCAGGCAGGCACATGTGTTTGCAGTGCACTTTCTAAATGTATTTAATAACGGTGGTTCCATTCTCTTCACCCACACAGCATTGCCCTGCCCACCCCGCAGCCATTACACAGACTGTGTCTCCAACTGTCCATCAACATGCAATGACATTTTTGCCTCTTCCCTTTGTGAGAAGACAGAAGAGTGCACAGAGGGCTGTGAGTGTGATGATAATTACGTGCTCAGTAATGGCAAGTGTGTGCCTCTAAGCAATTGTGGCTGCAGAGATGATGACAACAATTACTACAGTGTAAGTAGTTTGTCTGTGGAGCAAATGTCTGGCTGCAAAACTTGTAGAAAGTTAGTCTCCTGTCCATCTGAATGAGAGAGAGAGAGAAATGTTCAGGGTCTACCTCTTAAATACCTATCATCTGATTAGTAAAAGCTGCAGGCTCAAGTATTAAGAGATGCAGGAGCTTGCTACTTAGCACCTGAGGCCAAAATCGAGGCATATCCAAAACTAGTCAATTGATCAGTTATTCAGGCAGTCTGTCCTAGTCCTGGTTTGTGTTCAAATTCTCATGTCAAAGACAATAAAATAAATGGACTGGGATCCTCCCTCCCACGCTCTTGGCGAGCCTACATCTGGATTGAATAGTTGTGGAATCACCAACTGGACAGGTTGCACCTAGCCAGCCCCCACACCCTTTGCTATTGAACTTTTATTGCATTGCAAAGGTGAGCACTTTGATAACATATTATTAAATTATTAACACAACTTGTGTCTAGGCTGGGGAGACCTGGATAACTCCACACTGCACCAAAAGATGCCAGTGTCAGAAGAACGGCGTCATCAAATGTAAGAGCTATAGCTGTGATTCTAAAGAAACCTGCGTGATCAAAAACGGAAAACACAAGTGCAATCCAACAGGTATGTGCAGGCAGATCTTCACTTGGTGTTCCATGAGGGCTGGAGAAGCAGGAAGGATGTGGGTGTTTCTTCTTTCTTCCATGGCACTTACAGTCTTTTCCACAGGGAACAACAGCTCTGACAGTGCTATTAACGACACATTACTGAACACAAAAAGGCCTCAGTTCTCAGAATAGAAAGTTCCAGTACAAGACAGAGAATTTGTAGAGGGAAGTGGAACAAGAGTTTGAAAATTTACTTACATCTAGAAATTTGGCAGTTCAGTCTGACTAGTTTAAATAAAAAGAAAGAAAAAAGATCTGCACTGCATCTACCAAAACTGAAACTCAGATATCTCTGTGAAGCCTTTGGCAATGATCCTGTTTTTTCCATTGCATACAGGACAGAGAAGATCTGAACAGATATGTAATAGGCCAGTCAGAAAACTTTTGGTGCTTTTCCTTGCTCCTGGGGTAATGGTTTGCTCTGCGCTCAGTGGTCAAGGAGAATACTTAGATGATAGTCACTGCATCTGATTGTTAGGTCTGGTGAACCCAATGATCAGTTTAGTAACCCCAGAAGAAATCAGTGTGACAGCAGTGAGCCAGCCAAAATTAGACATTGCTTTTCATGTTCCAGTAATTTTGTAGCAACACATTGCTGAGGATTATGAAACCAAGATCTCTACGAGCCCACTGCAAGCCATACTGTGTGGCAGTCATTCCTCTGCAGAGGACCAACGTGCACAACTTAGTCTCTATAAAGCCTACAAATCCTAATGTTCTCCTTCAGTTCAGTTGGCTCACACTGGTTCTCAGCAAAGGAATGAGTTTCTCTGGCTGTCTCCATTTGAGTGTCCATTCACTAGGGTGATGCCTGAGCACCCATCTTTACTTTAAGAGACCTGCATACTAGCAGCAATCATTTTTATCTGACTTATTTTAAACTGATCCATGCATGGGATCTGGTACATGCACATTCAGACTGGAGGGTAATGAAGCTCTTCCCCTTTAGGTTTTGGGAAATGCCGGATCATGGGCGACCCACACTACCGCACCTTCGACGGCCTGGTGCACCACTTTCAAGGGAAATACACATATATTCTGGCTCAGACCATCCCTAACCTACCTGATACTCTGACGCAGTTCAGCATTGAAGGCATGAACTATCCTTTCCGACGACGGCGACACATTACTTACCTGAAAGAGATTCTCGTCAATGTTTACAATCACACAGTGCGATTCAGGCAGAACAAGGAGCTTGTGGTAAGTTTCTCACTGGACTGCAGAGCACAGAGAAAGGCCCTCCCTTGGAGTAAAACACCTTTGAGTAATAAATGTCTGCTTTGAAGAATTTAAATATTAAAGCTAACCATATTATTACAGTAGTGCTACGGGGCAACCACCAGTGTGATTTTCAGTTGTCTCAAGTCTTTTGTCGCTATAGCTATGAAGGATGTAATTCCACTTCAAACAAATAAATTAATAAATAGAGATTCAGGAATAAAACACCAAATATCCCAAGACTTACAATAACGCCATACAATTTTTTATTTTTTTTTATACTTTCCTGAAGACATGATTCTGTTAACTTTAAAAAAATTGAATACTGAGTTTTTTTACCTGGTTAAATTATCTGACACAGTTGTCATGAAATCAGAGGAGTGTTCATTTGTAGCATTGACCTGTACTGAAGCCACATTTTAATTTGGCCTATATATTATGAATTTTAACTTATTCTTTCCCTGTTAGGTGGATGGTGTGAGGGTGAGTCCCCCTGCTCGTCCTCATGAAGGTATTCATATATATCAGAGGATAACAAGAATTTACCTGGAGACAGATTTTGGCTTATATGTGAGCTTTGATGGCAAGCAAAATGCAGGTAAGTGATACTAAGATAATGTGCATAAATATTTATGCGCTGTCTCAAAAAATGTTCTCATTCGAAAGGAGGTCTAAACCCAAGGCAAAATTAGAAACCTTCACCCTTTGAGCCTATGGCCCTTTATGATATGAACTTCCAGAAAATTAAAACAAAAAGTGTTTCCCAGGAACCAGAAAATCATAAAACTAGCATTTCTTTATCTGGATCCACCTGAACTTAGGAGAAATTAGATGTAGAGTCACACTGTTCTACTTTTTTTCATGTTAAGTAAGGCCTGAGTGATAAAAATGAAAGCAAATCAGGATCATGGGGTGCAGTCCGGATCTGCCCCTTTGCCAGCTTAACCCAGTCATAGGCCTGAAGTCCTCAAGCTATACAGCTGTGAGTACCTCCTTTTACATGCTTCCTCTCAAGCCTATTCCAGATAATCCCATTCTTTCTCAGCAGGAGTCTTATACCACATATACACAACTCACTCATGTTGAACACACATTACCTCCTCTGTTCAAAGCAGAGTTACTCCTGATTTACAACAGAATATAGCCATGTTATTTCTGAGTGCATGGTGAAAGTACCAGGCCATTTATACACAACCATCATTCCAAACCCTAAAATTCCACCTGCAGAAAGAAAAGGGCTGTTTTATAGGAATGCTGTTTCTCAATGAGCAAGTAGACTGGAAGGGCAAAAAGTGCGTGTTGCATTCAGTTTGTTGCAAAGCAGTAAGCAGTATGCACTAAGAGCACTCAGGTGGTGATGTCATGTTATACAATACCTTATTGGCTGCAAGAAATTACATGTTTCATGATCCGTGTTGCAGAGCACAGAAACAGTCCTGTGAATACATGTATGAACATGTATGTTCAGGGCTGTGTTCATATCCTACATGAGGCCCGTGTCACATTACCAACTCCGGTCTGAATCATGAAATATGGTACTTGGCACTGCCTTCCACCTCTTCTATACACTCAGAAGCAAAGATTTCTGTGTAATGGCTTTTTTTTCTTCTGAACTTCCCTAGATATAAAGCTGGCCAACACCTACAGAAAGAGAGTGGAAGGCTTGTGTGGTGACTTTGATGGGAGATACAGAAATGACTTCACAACTCCAGATGGCGTTTGGGTGAAGAATGTGAATGTATTTGGCAAGAGCTGGAAAGTTCCTCTGAAAAGAACTACCTCTCGTCTCAGGTACTCAATTTTCTACTTAATATCCATGGCAAGCACAGCCACTGGAATCGAGTGAATTAAGTCATAGTTAATATCCAGGAATAACTATACTGTCTTATTTCTGGTCTTTCTTCTTCCCTTGGTCTGTGTGTAGGGACTTTTCCTGCTCATCACTAAGGTGAACTATCAGTATCCTTCTGTCTAGCCAAAAGAGGCCTGAACTACCACTGCATTACTCCAGTTCAGTATCCCTCTTTGGAGTCACAGCCATGACAACTGCTAGGGCACAGGGATGAGTAAGATCTTTGCCAAGCTCATGGTTCCTGGCAAACATAAATACATCATGTTGTGCTGGATGGGCCTGAGGGAGGGCAAATCCTGGTTCAGTGTCATCCCTCCCTCTGGAACATGAAATTAGCTTTGAAATCCATCAAGATGAATTCACAGTTCCTCCCCGAAGAGGTTCTTGAAGAGTCTGATTTCCTTACTTTCATGACTGTCTAGTGTTTTCTGCCAGTACACAAAAAGTAAGGACATTCTTTTGAGTATAAATGAGCGTGATATTTGTGGTCAGGCAAATTCTGTGCTAATTAGTCCATACAGAACATTGAAACAGGTAGGGAAAGAAATTTCCTTCCTCGTTCCTTCTCAATTTGCTTTGAAAGACCTTTGGAGGTTGCTTAGCCCACTGCCACAGAACTTTTTCAGCAAGTAAATGGAATTTTATTAGCTGTCAGGATATAATTTGGCTGCAAAACCTTGTCTGCCAGAATTGTAGAAAGCAGTATGTAGGCTAGTGTTGAGCATAAAGGGGCTCTGGAGGCTATGTCTACAGGAGAATTCTGGCACTTCAGGCATGCAGCCAGTTGTTCAGTGAAAGTGAGCATATGTCCAAGAAATAGTGGCCTATTCCAGCTGCATCATTCTGATTAACATTCAAGTTTTATTGAATAGATTGGATGAAGGAGGCATTGGATGAAGTCTGTGTCACGCAGAATTTCCAGAGAGATAATTACAGATATCCCTTTTGATCTAAATACCCATAAGTCTTTGAGATGGTAGGAAGTCAAAAAGTACATCTTTGATTTGCCTTATCTATGTCCTTCCAATTCAGAAATTGAGAGAGAAATAATCATGAGAGAGAAATAAGCTTACACTTATACCACAAGGCAGAAGTACTCTTGTGGTGTTACTTAGAGAGTAGTACCATGAATGCTGGATGTACAGAGAACTGACGGTTTCATAATGACTTCATTTACAGACGAGATGTCAACTCAGAACGTCAGTCTGAGGAGGAACCAGATCCAGGGCTTTTCCAAGGCTGCAGTGAAAATCAGTTGAAGCAAGAAAACAGAACTTCAAGATGTCAAATCCTGACTGACTCAAATGGTCCTTTTGTAAAGTGTCATTCTACTGTCTCACCAGATTTCTATTTCACGTAAGTGTCTACTGCAGACAGTTGTTCTCCCCATTTGCAAAATCATTTTGGTGCTAGTTTCTGACAAGAACCTTGCATCTTCAGTCTCCAGGGTGTTAATAAGAACTGAGGATAGTGTCCTTGGAGAACTGCGCCCAGTGATTCCATTATTAGTATATTTAAACCCCCTTATTTATTTTTAAATAATTGTGATGATCTGTCTTTCCATCTATGTAGAGTTTCACTCTTCTGTTAGCTCTAGACAGTAGCTTTCCTCTTTTCCTACAGAGATAAAGCAGCAGTGTTAAGCATTATCCCTGTAGGCTGTGTATCCAGTGCGCTTACAGTTCTCATCCACATTCAGTGAAAATTTAGTACCTGAGTCTATTACTTTCCTTTTAGCAATTCTAGCTTCATGAAATCTAGCCTTTGTGCTATAGCCACAAAGGCTAAAGCTGTCAGTGACACTTCTTGAATCTTTCATGGAGAAGTGTAAAAAACAGATGAGTGAAGAGTAACTAACCCGGTATCTTCAACAAAGTTCCCTCTGCTGTGTTTGAAGGCTGCTCTGGCCTCCTATACAATTCCTACACACCTAATTTTGAGCTGTATGAAACCTGTTGATTCATCCCCACATTTATCATTCATCCATCATCAGTCCCAAAATTGCCAAGTAGCTGCCAGTTTTCTTTAGTCATATAGTTGTATCTAATGTTTAAAAATGCCCACCTCAAAGTCCCTCCTAGCTGTGAGAAGAATGTGAAGATATCTTAAGCCAGATAAACTGGACCACTGGCTTCAATGTATATATCCTGTTTCTTAACATAAGCCTATTTTTCTCCTCACTCTAGAATTTGGTTGGGCAGCCTGTTCTACCTTCGTAGTCGTTGCCTGATTTTTCTGAGGTGCCGCATACTTGCAAATCCCATTCATCTCAGATCTCAGTGCCTCTGAAAATCAAGCCATAGATATTCAGATGAGCAAAGCTGAGAAGGTAGCACTGGCAAACAAACACTGGCTAAAACAGAATTCTGTGTCAATATTCAAGGCATATGGACATGTAATGAAAGAAGTGTATAGTCCAGCTATAAGACTTAGCAGCACTAAAACGTGCTCTATAAGCAAGATGCAGCCATGCTAGCCCAAAACAGAAGCAGAAGCAAAGAATAACTTATTGTGACAAGCAGTCAGGTGCCTGTTTATTGCTTGTTCATGTATGAATACCCCACATATTAGCAGCAGCTGCACAACAAATGACCTGATCTTCCCAATCATGTGGCTGGGGTTTTCCTGTCAGCCAGATACAGGAAAAGAGAACTAACTTGGAGTCAGGCAGAAAAGCAGCTGAAAATGAACAGTAACAAAGGTATTGGGAATGAACGCTTTCTCACGTTCCACATAGGAGCTGCCTGTTTGATATGTGTGTGGAAGGAGATGATGCTACCTTATGTCGCAGTCTGGAGGAATACGTGCTGGCTTGTCAGCAGCAAGGAGTCAGTATGGAAGGCTGGAGGCAACAGACAGTTTGTGGTAAGCAAAGGAAGAACCGGAAAGTATGGTTTCCACCTAAAGGGCTCCCAAAATCTGAGATCTGAGGCTTTTCCTAGATGCACCATATCAAAGCTTCTCAGGGAGTAAAACCATGTTGATTCACGCTTCAATCACTGTTCACAGTTTAGCATGCACACTTGCTCTTCCGGCCTCTCTTCCATGTCCTATGCTGAATTTCACATTTAGACCCCAGCTTAGAAAGCTACTTAAGAAAGCAGACCTGTCAGCTCCCCTGTCATCAGAAGTTTTGTGAGAGAAAAAAAAATGTCCCCATTCCCAACTGGGCAAAAAAGTTAAAATTTTGGAGACCATCACAAGCCACAAATCTGAAGGAAAAATATTTCACGTCAATCTCTCTTTAAATCTACAACTATATAATTCTCTTTTTTGCCTGTGAAATTTCAAGATAAAAAAAGATTCAGCTGAAAATTTCACATCTTTCAGACTAAAAAATGCTGAAATAAAACTTACAATAATCTCAAACCTTTTTTTCCTAATTTTTTTTTTCCAAGTTGGAAGATTCATCAAATCATACTTCCTCTTTCACACCCATGGTTAGAGGACTTTGTATTCCTGGTGAAACACAGTTCCCAGAGTTGTGAAACAGCTCTGGTACTTGCAGGGATGGCTACCCTGCATGTGTGAGAAGTTATTTGAGATCACTGAACACCAGGATTGAGAGCACAGCATACAAATAGCTTTGACAATGCATTTCCTGACTTTGGAGTGCTTTACTTACAACTTCAGTACTATTATATATGCATGCACATCTCTGCGTGTGTGTGTTCATCATATTGCCTCCTACAAAATGGTAGCATCCTCTGGATCTCAAAGGGCATTGTGTAAGTAATGCACAGCAGCCTGCTGTAACTGGACTCTCCTTATTTTTCCAGGTATGTCATGTCCTGCCAACAGCAACTACAGCTCATGCATGTCTGCATGCCCAGCGTCCTGCGGCGACTTGACCAGCCCCTCTGCGTGCGAATCACCTTGTCTTGAAGGCTGTGAATGTCTCCCTGGCTATGTTCTTAGTGGTTTTGACTGCGTGCCTTACAAACAATGTGGCTGCACATACCTTAACAAATATTATGAGGTACAGTCTCTCTGTGGCTCAGACAGCTCCCACCGCACCAAAAAATATTTTCTTCTGCTAATTATTTTGACAATCTCATTCTCCTCAGCATGTAATTTTGCATTAGAAACAAAGAGCAATTGTTTAATAACATTCTGGTCTCTAGAAGAAGGGAAGAGAGAGTAGATCATTTGGTCTGCCTCTGAAACTCTGCCTGCCAGAACACCCAGGGCAGGCACTTGGAAAACGTATATGATTACACTCTGACCTCCATGTTAATTCTTCACCTTTATTACACTAAATAATAGCCTCATATGCTCTAAAGTTTACAACACACCAGTTACAGAGAAATTCTGTCAGCCACTGTGGTCCCTCTCCTCTCAGTGAAGAGTGGTATAGGCAGGGCTGAGAGTCTCTAGAGTTGGCTATGACATGAAGAGAGCCCCAAGCAAGGCTGGATTCTGAGGAATACAGAGAATCCTCCATTGTCACTGCAGGATAGAACCGCTTCATAATCTCATAGATTCTTGGTTTAACACTAGAGATTTGGTACAGAAAAGGCCTAAGCCAGTAAAGACTGTTTTATGGGAAGAAGGAGACACTTACTATGAACAGGTGGCACTTCCCAGAAGAATGGCACATAGCATTTCCACATTGCCTTGGAGTCATGATGTGATGCATCTGCCACTCTCCCTTATCTCCAGCAACAGTTAGACATTGTTGGTTGCACATGTACCCCATCTGGGGCTAGGAGCTCACACACCAAACTCTTCTTTTGCCTTCTTTCTTGGGCCATCCTTGAGTTTCAAAGAGCTGGATTAGTAAGCTGCTTGCTTTCTTTTTTGTACAAATTACAAAAAAAAAAAACCAACCCCGCCCTGTTGCCATTCATTATGAAGGCACCAGAGAGAGTAGCAAGGGGCCCCAGTGCTCCATTCACGGTTTTTCTGGCTGATTTCATTTGATATTTTTTAACGTTTGAGAGCAGCCCTGCGGAGAAGGACTTGGGGGTACTGGTAGATGAAAAACTGGACATGAGCCAGCAATGTGCGCTTGCAGCCCAGAAAGCCAACCGTATCCTGGGCTGCATCAAAAGAAGCGTGGCCAGCAGGTCGAGGGAGGTGATTCTGCCTCTCTGCTCTGCTCTGGTGAGACCTCACCTGGAGCACTGCGTCCAGCTCTGGGGCCCTCAGCACAAGAAGGACATGGAGCTGTTGGGGCGGGTCCAGAAGAGGGCCACCAAAATGATCCGAGGGCTGGAGCACCTCTCCTATGAGGCCAAGCTGAGAGAGTTGGGATTGTTCAGCCTAGAGAAGAGAAGGCTGTGAGGAGACCTTATTGTGACCTTCCAGTACTTAAAGGGGGTCTACAGGAAAGATGGGGAGAATCTTTTTAGCAAGGCCTGTTGTGACAGGACAAGGAATAACGGATTTAAACTAAAGAAGAATAGATTTAGACTAGACATTAGAAAGAAATTTTTTACAATGAGGGTGGTGAAGCACTGGAACAGGTTGCCCAGAGAGGTGGTAGAGGCCCCATCCCTGGCAATATTCAAGGTCAGGTTGGACGGGGCTCTGAGCAACCTGATCTAGTTAAAGCTGTCCCTGCTCACTGCAGGGGGGTTGGGCTAGATGACCTCTAAAGGTCCCTTCCAACCCAAAGCATTCTATGATTCTATGAACGTTTAACTGCTGTCTTCCAGATTGGAGAAATATTCACCACTGATGACTGCTCTCAGAGATGCCAGTGCACAGAAAGCTCCGCTGTCTCCTGCTCTAACATAGCATGTGGATCTGATGAAATCTGTGGCATTTCAAACTACACTCGTGGATGCTACAGGAGTGAGTCAACCACTATCACATTGTCTTTGATGCTAAGAAGTCTTGACTTACTACTTATAGGACATCACTGGGTTGGGGATAGTTGCAACAGAGTGTGTACAGAAGAAAAGCATACCAGGGATCTTGCTCAGATGTTTCCTTGTAGAAAAAATTCAAAGTGTTTCTTTCCCTTATTCCTGTTGTCAAGTACAAGTTATATGCCTTAAAAGACAGGGAATGTCCAGCATTAGAGGTCAGTGCAACCTAAGCAAAAACAGTTCTCTCAGGGTTGGATATCTGAGAGTCTAAAGTGTTTCTCCTTCCTTTTTGCTAGGTGGACCATGTATGCCAGATCCTTGTAAGAATGATGGAGTTTGCTCTGAAACTACCAACAGCACCTCTCTCCACTTCTCCTGTGAATGTTCAGAAATATACACAGGACTAAACTGCGAGGCTGAAAAGATAGGTAATAAAACAATTTTGGATTTCACTGCCTGCATTACATACACCACTTTCAAAAATGGGTGTCATAACGGAGAAGACTGAGCTTTCTCTTCATTTCCATGCTGTAAACTAGTAACCCAGTAGGTGAGAGCCTGTGGTCATCCAAGCAGAAAGAAGGGGTCAGATGCCCCAGTGGAGGGGTGCTAGAAGGCATGACAGCAGGGCTCTGTAGAGCATACAGGGCCTGGGTCTGACACCTCTCCAGAAAGCCACATCCATCAGAGAACACAGTATAAACCAAGCAGACAGGCAAGGGTTGAGAAAAAATTTCTGTTCACAGTATGGTTAGCTTTCACTGACAGGGCTCTTATTTCTTCTTCAGCTGAAGACCCTCCCACAGAGAATCCTGAGGACCATACAGTTGCCATCATCGTTGGAGTTGTGGCAGGTGTAGTTGTTATCATCATTCTCATCTCCTCTACAGTGTACCTGTACAGGTAAGGCTTTTCCCAGCTTTGCTACATTCAGCAGTCAAGACACATAACACCCCTTTTAGCACCTGTAAACCTCAAAACTCCCATTAGTCACATACCTGCAGGACCAGAAAGGAACCACAGCATTCAGGATCTCATTTGAGGAATGTGAGGAAAAACTTAGCTTTTTCTACAGAAATGAACATATGCCATTTCCTTTACACAGGGCATATGCATCACTATCACAAAACTTGGGCTTCTCCAAAATCTGACTTCATTCATGCTTACACCATTATTTGACCTCCCTCTACCGCTAAGAACAGAAATTAAAAATGTTTGTTCTTTTTTTTTTTCTCATTGTACAGAAGGAAGAGAGAGACATATACACCTACGAACTCAAGGAATTCTTCTTTGAAACAGTCCAGCGATGTAGTGGATGACAGAGCACATGAGCAAGATTATGGCTGCATTGTGAACGCTGCATTTGATCAAAATTAATCCCCAAACACACACCTATAGTTAGCAATATTTTTCCAATTTATTTGTATTACTTTCTGCTCTTGTATTTTAATAGTATTTGTAATACTTTGAGAAGAAATAATACTAAATAAATCATTGCATTTGCTGAAATCCTTTGAAATTGTTCCTCTAAAATATCTCTCACATCTCATGTTGTAGACCCAAACTGAAGTATGTCCTAACTTACATAAGAGACTGTGTTGTCTTCAGAGGCTGTTCGAAAAGCACAAAGTCCGAACAGGATTTGCCAGCACAAGTGTGCTACATGCCTCTGATGGATGTACAAATTATAGACTGATGGCAGTCTTAATTAATTACAGCATCCGAGGCAGGTAGGCCTCCATGAGATCATCTTACCCAAATCCTTCCATGGGGAGATGATTAGCTGACTGAGCTGGACACAGTTCTTACTCCTCTTCTGGCAAGACATGTCCAACTGGGGAGAGAAGTATATAAGACACTGAGCTCATCTAATGACAGGTGTAGTAAAAAGGATGACCCCCATTGTCTCCCCTGGGAGTGCTGGACTGAAAGAAGTGATTGCTGGAAGGAGAGCTGCCTCCCTGCTATCAGGGTGGAGTGGACAAGAAGCAGGGTTGTCATCAGCCCCTGGCCTGTGGGGGCTAAGCAAGAGCATAACTTAACAAAAACTTTCTGAAGAATGAGATCCTGTCATAAACTCTACTTGGGGTCTTTACAAACTCTGAAGCTGCCACACTCTGATGAACATGCGCAGAGATCTGCATTGGCTCAGTCCCAGGCCATGCTAAGGACCCTCCTATAGCAGAAGATCAAAGGTGTTTGTGGCAAGGCCCAACAACATGCAGTGTGCAAGACACCCACCCAATGACGGACCACTCTCAAGGCTTGGGGGACTGAAGCACTGGCTGGGCCTTGTACAAGCCCTGGACGAATTTCCAGTGCCATGGGTGAAGTTTTGAGACATAAGGAAGGCACCATTAAGGTTTCTCTTATGCTTCTCCAGTTCTTTGCAGGTTTGCTTCTGATTACAGTAAGGAACAGCGTGGGCTTCTCATTGTTTCTGCAGTAATGCTGGTTATTATTTACTTACCCTTTCTCCTTTCCCCTGTATCCATGAACTCATGTGTGCTGTCAGCCAAAAAAGTTTTTGTGACCTCCATGAATAGTTAGGCAGATAAAAGGCATTTTATTCCAATCCATTCAAGAACATGCCAGCTATCCATACATGCACAGCTCAGCTATTTTGGAGAGGATGTGAATGGGCTTTCAGCCTCGTTACATAATGAAAATGAATCAGCGCCCTGGACCTACTCGTGCGCAAATGAACTGTCAACTTTATGCTGGAATTTCACCGCCATTATAAAAGCATTTGTCCTGCCTGTTCAGCGGCAGCTTCCTATTGCACTCTCGCGCTTGCCAGCAGTGCGATTCTGTGAACGCAGAGCGGTGCTGACCGCGCGCCTCCCGGTGCAGTCGGTGGGAGCACAGGCCAGGATCCCAAGCAACAGGGCCCAGCTGGGCCCAGGTCAAGCAGATTTCTGGGTTTCCATGGATACACCTTGCTATTTCAATACCTCAAGAACTGCCTTGGCTTTCCATTGCAAAGCCTCACAAATACTTCAGACTTGAAACAGGGGCTGATACGGAACACAGAATTGCAATTCAGTGCTCCACCAAATTAACTGTTTCATGTCAACAGAAGCCAGAAAGATGATAAATCTTCTGCTGTTCTAATCTTCTAAATCAACTGGCTTGCTCACCTGACTTTTGAAATGCTGGGCTTTAAATGCACTGCTTAGTTCTACTCACCCAGAGGACAGTTTTGTTGATAGCAAACCCTCCCTTTCAGCATCCTGCACTGGCAATAGCCAAGGAGACAGCCCTGCCTGCTCAGCTGCCTGCGCTGCTCGCCCCTCGGCTCAGAGGGCTCTTGTGGGCACAGCCAGGAGACTCCTCTGATGTCCTGAAGGAAATTCCTGGGCCACAACACGAAAGACACATGAAAAGCCATCCTAGAAATCTCTTTGTCCTAAAACGGCCATTGGGATTTACTCTGAGCTCCGCCTCCTTTGCTTCCCTCCGCCAGCAAAGCAGCGAAACGGCAGCTCTGCGTTGCCTGGGGATGCT